AAAGGTCACCAATGACCTTCATTGTGTGAATCAATTCACCAGTGATTACTTTTTAGTCCTTTTCATACATGACCTCTCAACAGAATTGATGCTCCCACATTGAAATGCTTTCTTCTTTCGGGTTCTTGGACATCTCTCCATTTTCTCTGCTCACTGAACAGCTCTTCATAGTCTCTTGCTAGTTCTTCCTCATCTCTCCATCCTCAAAAAGTTGATGTTCCTTAGTAATTAGTACTTGGACTTCTCAAATCTATCAATGCTTGATCCCTAAGTTATCTCTTTAGTTCCAGGGTTTTAGATGTTAGCCATGTTCTAGGAGCTTCCAAAATTATTATCTCCAGCTCAGACCTCTCTCTCAAAATCCAGACTTGCCCACCAACTCTATCAACATATATCAACTTTGATATATCAAGTGAACACATCCAAATTCAAGTTTTTGATTTCCCACCTCAAATCTCAAGTATTAGAATCATCCTTGACTACTGAGTTTTCCTCACATCCCAAATCTATTAGCAAATACTGTCAACTTAGGTTAAGATATATCCAGAATTTGACCCACTTCTTTTTTTTTTAAAGACTTTATTTATTTATTTGACAGAGATCACAAGCAGGCAGAGAGGCAGGCAGAGAAAGAGAGGAGGAAGCAGGCTCCCTGCTGAGCAGAGAGCCCAATGCGGGGGCTCGATCCCGGCACCCTGGGATCATGACCTGAGCTGAAGGCAGAGGCTTTAACCCACTAAGCCACCAAGGCACCCCTTGACCCACTTCTTGCCACATCCACTGCTATCACCCTAGTTCAAGTCACTATCATGTCTCGTCTGGGCAGTTGTAATAGTATCCCAACTGCTCTCCTTGCGTCTGCCCTTGACCTGACTTAAGTCTATTTTCTGTACATAGCTGGGAGCCTGTTAAAACAGTTGGGACTTCACCCTCTTTTCTCCAAAACCTTCAACCAGGCCTAACTCTAACATGTGTGAGGTTGCAGGCAAAAATAAAGTGAATGCTGCCTTCTCTTCCCATCCCTGGTTCTGTTCTAAACCATGAAAGAGTAGATAGGCAGAGTACAGACTCCCCACCTTGCATATCAGAGCTTTATCCATACTCAAAAACACAGTGGTCCCTTAGCCACCCCACAGGCCTAGGGATGTGCTAGAAGAGCCCAAGAAAGAATCTACTGAAGAGAAGCATCAGTATAGTGTCTCCAGTATAGGTCTTCAGTGGAGTGGCAATGTCCCAAATGGAGGCTGCCTGGTCAGCCTGAATCCCAGAGCACAGCTGCCCCATCATAGACACATAGGATGAACAGACAGCCCTTGAGGTCTGGAAGCCTTTTGTTGCCATGGCATAATCTATCCTATCCTACACATATCTTGCTCTGTGAACATGAGTTCTATAAAGGCAGACCATATCCTATTGGACATGTATCCCCAGCACCTAGCACAGTGCCAAGCACATAATAAATACTCAAGTAATATTGCAGGAATGCAACCTTTCTGGATTTCATCTGTATAATAAAGAGGGTTAGAGTAGATATTTTATAAAGTATCTTCAAACTCTAGCATCCCGTGATTTCTGTAATTTCAGAAATAAAAGGTTCTGCATTTTCTTCTCAAACACCCACATGCCAAAGCCTCATTCCAACCTGAATTTCCTTTCTCTTCTGATGAAAAGCTTTTGTACATAGCTATATAGGCTTATAGCATTACAAGAACTGCTTAAGGTTTTAAAATCCTACTGCAATCAGCCTTTAAGGGCAAGGAATTAATGCCTTTTCTGTCTCTGAATATCGTGACCCTGAGTGATGTCTCCCCCACCCACACACCCACTTTTGTTGCTGGGCTTGGGCGAGTATACCTGCTATTCAAAGACCATCTAAAAAAAAAAAGGAAAAAAAAAGGCCATTTGAAATTACCTCTAAGAAGGAACTGCTTTGAGAATCAGGCTTATAATTAAACAGTAATTGAAGTTTCCTGTGGTTTTAGGCATAGGTCTTATCTAATGCTTAAGTAGATAAACAGCATGTCTTAAAAGTCAGAACGGAATTAGATGCTCCTATAAGAGAGCAGAGGTCTCTGCTCAGCAACGTGCTTCTTTAAAATCCAACCTGGTTTCCAGCACTTTTGTCACACCACCTACACGACAATGACATCAGTCTGCCCTGCAGAAGTGACTGTCAGAGAACCATGGAATGATAGAGCTGACATGGATCTCAGCTAGCTCCTCATTCAAAGTCCTTATTTCACAAGAAATTAAAACCCAGGGAGGTAAAGTGATTTGCCTCAGGTCACAGGCAAAAGAGGAGAAGATCAGGGATTTAGGAGGTAAGACTAAGACTATGATGACTTGGGTGACTTACTGGATGCAGGTTGTTAGGGAGAGAAAGGAATGGAGGACAATTGCAAACTTCTCAGTGGGGGTCAAACGAGAAAGAGCAACTTTGAAGGAAATCCAATGAGCACAGTTGGGGTCATGTTGAGTTTGAAGTGTCTGTGTACCATGCAGACAGATACTAAGCAGACAGATATTACAAATCTGAAACTGAAGAAAAAGGATAAAGTTAAAGAGAGAAATTGAGGAGTCATCATCCTACCCACTTGTTGTTTAAAACTACTATACTTTAAAAAAATATATTAAAAAAAAATAAAACTACTATACAGCAAGGAAAGAAATCAGGAAAAGGGAGTAACAGGGACATAACCAGCAGAATACTGACATCTAAGAGTTTTGTTAAAAATAAAAATAAATAAAATCAAGAAGAGTTTAAAAAGTAGCTTACAAAAGAGTGGCCAGAGAATAGGAGGGAAACTGGGATAGACTGGTGTTGGTAAAGTCAGGGCAAGAGAAGTTTTCAAGAAGGGAAAAGTGTTCAACTATGGCACACACAGTGCTAGCCGCCTCCCCAATATTCATTCTCCTTTTTTTCCTTGCTAACAAAGTCCTGATTGTTTTTCAGAGTGGCACTAAATCTAGTAAAAATTAAACCGTGATTTCCCAGGCTCCTTTGCATCTAGAAGTCGTCCGTATGACATCCCTCTGGCCAATTAGATATAACCAGATGTCTATCTACTTGGTGAGACTGTCAAGAAAACAATTATTTTCTTGATATAAATTTTCAAACAGCTGGCATCTCACTTTTACCCTTTGCCTTTTCCCCCTTCCTTCTCCCTAGATAATGATTCTATGTCCAGAAATATAGCAGCTATCTAATGAGCATGAGCACAAAGGACACACACACCCACACACACACACACTATAGATGATATGGAAAATCAGGAGTCTGATTCCTGATCTACTCAGTTGAATGAGTGAGAAATGTGGAGTCAACCTTGACTCCTACTACCATCTTACTGCCTTTGGTCCAAGATCCTTGACTCTACCCTTAAATATCTTTCAAATTCACTTTCTTCTAACCACCCCTAAAGTCTCTGAATTGTTCAGGCCCATAGTGTGCCTTGCCAAGCTGATTGAACTGTCCTAGAAGCTCTCCCTGCTTCCACACTTACCCCCTGAAACCTATCCTCTAGTCTTCTGTCACCATGTCAAAAAAACGGAATGATTTTATGTTCATTCCTGCTGAAAATATTTTCATGGTTCTCATTGCCTAGTGGATAAAATTGAAGGTGCTTATCCCTCACAGTTGGGCTCTTTATGATTGGGCTCATGGCTTATATTGATTATGACCTAGTTACTATGCAAATATATAGTGGTTCACTACCACTTTGTGAACAAGGACCACTTACCAAGCATTGTGCTAAGAGCTTTGCATTTATTTAATCCTCATAATGCTTCCCCACACATTTGATAGTACTATTCTCATTTTGCAGTTGGGTCAACTTACTCTCAGAAAGGTTAAGTCACTTGCCCAAGAACACACAGCTTCTTTAAGCAGGGGAAGGCCTGGATGTCAAAGCTCTTTCAAAGTTCTTTCCACTGCAGTGCCTTGACATGAAAGAATGTACACTCCTCTCCTTCTTGTCCCTTACTACTCCCGATCTACATTAAATGGACAGCCTTGTTGAAGAACCGCAGTCAAAACCAGTCATCCCCTTCTGGCCAAAGGAATCTATCCCCTACTATGATGGAAAGAAAACAGGTTCTTCACACCAGCTTCTGCAAGGGAGGAGAGAATCGCCCAAAGCTGGAGCTGCATGGTGGGCTGGTTGGCCTGACCCTCCCTTCCCTCTCCTCGCCAGCTGGAGGTCAGGTGCAAAGTGCAGGGATGGGGATGGGTTCAGAGAGCCCTTCTCCTTTGACCTAGCCAGCCTGGCTGGTGCCACCACAATATTGGAGTAGGATCCCATCTCCAAGCATCCCCTCCAGTGTCTGGAGCTGGAAGATCAGGGGGGAAAGACTGGTGACTCCCTAAAGTCTCGAGCAAGACCCGATACCCACTCCTCACCACTGTATCAGCCTGGGAGCCTGTCCCGGGGACTCTGGCTGTGCAACCCACTCTATTGCTGGAGCGGTTTTGCACACCGCTGCCACCCAGCGCCGGCACCAAGAGCAGTCGGCCAGCAGTGGGACCCTGGAGCATTCAGTGCAGCCCTCTGAGCCCTGAAAGCCTAGCGGTTGAGAGGCCCGCGGTCAGAGAAACCCCTGGGAGCTCTGCTACCAGTCGGGTCGGATCACCCAGATTTGTAACTGGAGAAAGGTCCAGGTCCCCAAGGAAGATCTCCAGCTAGCACTCTCTGGCCCTCGGACCTGAACTCGGGGTCCAGGCTGCCCCGTGGGCAAACCATCCCGAGTTCCTCTCTCTGGCCAGCGACAGCCTTGCGTCCCCAAACTCTCCCTAGGCACTGAGGCAGTAGCAGGCGTCCTGTTCAGCCCTCCTGGGCAGCGGCGGAACAAACCCCAGCTGCTCCAAGCACCCCGACTGGACCCTGGGCAACCACTTCTGTCCGGGTGGCTCTCCCCCGGGTCTGAACCCCTCGCGCCCCCGCGCGTCCTTCTTTGTTTCTGAGCTTGCTCTGAAAGTGATGTAACGAGGCCAGACTCGCGCGCTGCTTTCCCTCTTTCCCAGACTAAGTCCTTCCTCCCTCCAGCACCCGGCGCTCTGCGCCAGAGCCGGGCGCTGGGCTGTGCCTCCACTCCACTCGCAGAGCTCTGGAGACCGACGGGCACTGTTGAGAAAGACGCGCTCCCACGTCCCACCTCCTGGATGCAGAGTCAGTGGGGAAAGCGAGGCTTTCCTTACAGAAACAAGGGAGAGAGCCGAGGGGACAGCTGTTGTGGAGGTTTCTAAGGAGACTGAGACTGGCATCTTTCCCTGCTCCTGGGAGACAGCAGGAAACCTCAGGTACCTCAGTGACCCCAGTCTCTGTATGTTTATATGAAAGAGAAAGAGGCAGTAAGAAAGAGACAGAGAAAGAAAGAGAGAGAGAAAAACAGGAAGAAATAGAGATCCAGAGACCGTGGTTGACAGACAAGTGGAGACAGACAACGCGTAAGAAAGATAGAGACTTGGTGGGTGGAAAATTGACTTGTTTGTTTCCTTCCTTCCTTCTCTCTTTCTTTCTTTCTTTCCTTCTCTCTTTCTTTCTTTCTTTCTTTTTTTAACCCACTGTGGTTTTGCTTCTGACAGAAGAGAGAACTGCTGCTCCCTAGCCAGCAAGTAGCCCCCAATCTGGATGGAGTGAAAGATGCGGCCTGATGATATAAACCCGAGGACTGGGCTGGTGGTGGCCCTGGTCAGTGTCTTTCTGGTCTTTGGCTTCATGTTCACCGTCTCTGGGATGAAAGGAGAGACTCTTGGAAACATCCCCCTCCTGGCCATCGGGCCAGCCATCTGCCTACCAGGCATTGCAGCCATTGCCCTGGCCAGGAAAACTGAGGGATGCACCAAGTGGCCTGAAAATGAGCTGCTATGGGTTCGCAAGTTGCCCTGCTTCCGGAAACCCAAGGATAAGGAGGTGGTGGAACTGCTGCGGACCCCTTCAGACCTGGAATCGGGCAAGGGAAGCTCAGATGAGCTGGCTAAGAAGGCCGGCCTCAGGGGGAAACCCCCGTGCCAGGGGCAGACAGAGGTGCCTGTGGCCAATTCCATCACCACCCCCACACCCACGGAAGGAGAACGCCAGAGCCTGGTCCAGAATGGGCATCAGGAGGAGACATCCAGATACCTGGATGGCTACTGTCCCTCAGGCAGTTCCCTTGTCTACAGTGCCTTGGATGCCAAGTGCTCAGCCTGGGACAGATCTGACTGCCCGGAGCCTGAGGACAGCATCTTCTTTGTGCCCCAGGACAGTATCATCGTTTGCTCCTACAAGCAGAACAGTCCCTATGACAGATACTGTTGTTACATCAATCAGAGCCAAGGCAGGTGGGACCACGAGACAATAGTCTAAGCTTTGCATACAAGAGTCGCTGTGTTGATAGAAATGTGACTACACTCAGCTTCCTGGGGAAGGAAACTGCCCTGCTCAACAGCCTTCAAACTGTTAGAAATTGACTTGGTATGTGATGGGTGTGCAAGCCTCGGGTGCCTGAAGGCATGTAAATAGGCATGTTGGGGACACATTTTAGAGAAGGGTGATGAGGGTTAAGGACACTGAAGAGGCAGTGAGTAGGAGAGAAAGCAGTTCCAATTGCTTTTTAACAATTAAACCATGTTGGATGTTTTGTAAAATAACCCAGAAAGTGCTACTCAGCACCTGCTAAAAGCAAGATAAATCTAGAGTAGGCTGCAGATATCAGGCATGAAATGATACATGGGCTTGCCATAGGGAAACTGAGCAGCTTTCAGTCGGAATAAATCAAAAGACAAAACAATTTAGTGCTTCGTTGTATGAAATGATTTTTTCTGGTGAAAGCTTTTCACACTTATTATTTGCTGAAAGAAAAAAGTCAAGACAGAAAAGCTACTCCCTCCTTAGGTGGGATGGTTTTTGGAGAAAGGGGAGTTGAATTATGTAATTGAGTTTTATGATATTATCCTCTGACAAGATCAGAGATTTCAAATAAAGTAAAATAAGTGTGTGACCAGCTAGGTAAAAAACTAAAAATTTTAGATGGCTATGTTACTTCTTAAACTCTTCATTTAAATTGATCTACTGGGTCTTTATCTTAAGTGGTTTTTTTTTAATATTTGCTATCATTCATGTATAATTTCCTCATCGGGTGCAAAATGACTTGATGTAATATTTTCATTAATTAGAATTTGTGTTCATCAAGTCCAAATGGGTTTTACATATGTATACAAGTGTCTTTAACATTTCTGGGAGTCCTGGTAATAACTATTCCTATATGACTTTTGAAATCTGAAAGCTATGAAATCAACACAATAGTCTTGAACTTTATGCAGAATTTACACAAAATGCAATGGTTAAACTTCTGGAAGTGTCATTATTTGTACATTTATTCAACATTCCCAGAGACTATAAATGCCAATGAAACAAGAGTTAATCTAGTAGATTTAACTAAAGCTCAGTTTTTATTAAGTTCACCTAATCAGTGAGCATTGCATGACAAAGGTCTGTTTTATTTCATACTTAATTTTTTGCTGCTGAGGGAAAAAGGCACAAAGGGATCCTAAAATGTATTTTCTGTTTCAGTTGCTTAACTATAATAGACAAGAGGGCAATCAGCCAGGATACCATTTAGTCCCTATTGAAGAGAAATATTGAATTATATAGAGAAATCATGGTATATTTCATCTTGAAGATCAGAATGTTTTGTCTCCTTCAAAGAATGATGATTTATTGTTAATGTTCAGAGAGTTTCAGCCACTTTTTCCCTAAGGGGGAATTGAGGACACAAATTCTGGCCATACCCCTTTTGTATATTTCAGATCCAAGTCTGCAAGCCTTTAAGTGTAGCATTCAGTCTTAAGAATCATGCCCTTAAAAAGCAAAATTTCCAAACCAAGTTCAACATCAAAAGAGTATGATTTTTTTTTTAGTAGGGCTTAAATGTCAGAAAATGAGATGTGTGATCCTGAGCAAATTTTATCTTCTTGTACCTCAGTTCTCACTCTTCAGAAATCAGGGAGGAGTGGGACTGACTTACACTAGAGTATGTCTATCGTTCATTCCTGGTTTGAATATTCTATGGCATCATGTCAAAGACACTTTATATAATGCCAGGGGATGAGATATAACAAAATGCATGCCAAAGTTATGCAATTCATGATAAAAATTATATGACATGGATTAACTTCTTACTACTGCTCAAAATAATTTTGTAGGTGTATGAAAGCTGATTTGTTTTATTGTCAAATATTATTTATTTACCAAATACCTTACTGGAAATAAAATAAATATGTTAATTAAAGATAAAATTTTTTTGGTATATAGCCCCCAAATAATCCAATAGATGCAATAAATGTAATCTACTTTAGATTTGGCATGGAGGGAAAATAGTTTCCTAAAATCACAGTACCCCTTAAGAATTCTGGGGCATTTTGAAAGATGAAAATCATGTTTCAATGAAGGTGAAAATTATTGGATTATTCTCTTAGGAATAAAAACTTCTAATCTGAACCAAAAAAAAAAAAACCCTTCTAATCTGTTTGCCATTTGTGGACATCTTCAGGGATGAAGAGACAGCAAGACAGCAAAGAGAGATGTTCACAAAGACTCAGCAAATCCTATACAGGGTCTGAAAAGAGATGCTTGCAGTGTTAAGTATGGTTTAGGTGTGGAAAAGTTACTTTTTGATTTCCTGGAATTAGTTCAAACTCCTTGAGTTCTATTTCAGAAGCAACTTACGTTGGTCTTCTTCTTCCGTCCACCTACTTAAGATACTTAAGGTATCTAAATATGCTCTTGAGGGAATTTTCTGCAGTGCTAAAATAATGGTTTGCAAATGTTGACTGCGTGGCTTAACTTTGACCAGAAAGAATAAAATGTGTGATTGTGTGTGTGAATTTTTTTTTAACATCTTATATTAGGTAATCCCTTCCTAATATAAAGGAAGGTAGCCTAGTGCCCCAAATCAACACTCAGTGGTTGGGGAAACATTAGTACTATTCAGGGGAAAGCATCCATTCTGTTGAACAGAGGTGGAAGAGAAGGAAAACAAGGTGAGAAACACGAGTGAGCTTGTTAGAGGAAAACAGCAGCTCATTCTAGTCAACAGATGTAGCAAATATTAACGTAATAGACAGGAGGACTATTCCCTGTATACATTTGAGACAGACATAAAACAAACTAGTTATTTTTTTTTTACTTGCTACTAATCCAAATAGTCATTTCAACTTGATTTTAAATAGGCATTTTATTTTTGAAATTATTTCTATTTACTTTTTCTTGTTCAATATTCCTATCTATTACGCTCATGGATTCTTTCTCCAAACTGCTTTTTGATGTTAAAGTGTGAATTCAGCCAAGATACCCATGCTAGAACATATTTAGACAACTGTTTTAAGATTTAGTTTCTGTTACAATCATGGCAAACAAAATCCATATATATTTAAGTTCAGACTCACTTCCAAACCCTACTAATCAGGTCCTTTGGAAATGTTTTCAATACTATGGGCTCTTAATATACACTTAGCTGGCACATGTAGGGAAGGAAGATTCATTCTCTTAAATGCTTTTCTCTTTTGTAATATCCAACCTCTATTTATCTATTAACATCTCCACTCTGCATCTGTAGTATCATTTACTTGGTAAAATCACTGTTACTACTACTTTATAACATTAAAGAAAATTTTTTTGAAAATCTACAGCCCCACTCTCCTTATAGAACTACTGCATTTCCATTTTAGCATATCATCCTCCAGGACTCCCCCACATGCACCTTAAATATTATAATTGTGTGGTTTTCCTTTCTCTCTTATTTATATGCTAAGTATGTTTTCATGTTTCTACATAGTGTTCCTGATTACCATTTAACAATTGTGTAATACGTCATTTTTGAGAGGTATCATAATTTAACATGCCATTCCTTATTGCTAGTCAGGTAACATGTTTTATGGATGGTTTTGCATGGCTTTTTTTCTATTGTTGGTAACACAGCTACATTATTTGTCATTTGCCCAGAGAGGTGAATATTTATAATCGAAAAGCTGTCTCCTTATAGATGAGAGTAAAGGGGAAGAAATGTGTAAATGGATCAAACACTTGACATTATTGGTTTTCTCTTGATTCATGGGCAAGACATAGAGTAAGAGACAAAATAACGCTTCTCAAAAAGGTCCGCCCTTTGGGACCAGAACCAGTATTTTTAAGAATAAGATGAGATGGAGCCTGTGTTTTTAAGAGTAAGGTGGAACATTTCCCCAGTTAAGATACCACAGTTAAGATACCACTATATATCTCAAAATCAGTTTACAGTGGTGTCAATTTTTAAGAGCATAATGTTGAACAAGCAAAATGAAAAATAGATGTAAACAATAATTACTTTGTAATATTGCAAAAGCACTTTCTTAAAGTATCTCACCATTTATTTTATTATATATTTAATATGTATGTAAACTGTTACCTATTAGTGACTTACAAATGAACTGGAATTTCAGGAATTCAACAGAATCTACCCATGAGTTTTCTGTTTCTTCCCTCAATGGAAAAAATGAACTGAAGATGGAATTATGGACAAATGCTCAGCTCAACCAGATATCTCAATAAAGAATTGAATTCGATTCAGCCTTTCGTCCAGATAGCATGAAATCATATAAACCCCACTGAATCATGTCTTTGATTTCTCACCACCTACCACAGGCTCCTCATCTCATGAACACCTCAAAGAAAAAAGTTTATACGTGCCGCTGTCCAGATACAAATAGGTAGACATTGATATCAGATGTCTACCATCTTTTACAAATTATTCCTGGGCCTGATCCTTCTTACAGATCTTTTCTCTGTCTTTCCCTTTATTCCTCCTCCTGACTGCATGTTACAACCTGCAGACCTGGTATTCTCAATGACAGCACAAGGTTTTACATGCTTTAGCCATAACAAAGGAAAGTGTGACAGAATGGGCCAGTTATAGAACAGGGCATAATGCTATTTAAACATCTCTTTGACAAATCTATCCCAAGAAAGTTAAATATCACAAATATCTTTGCAGTTCATCACTTTCTTATTCTTTATGGTAATAAATGATTACATATGAGACAACCCCTCAGTCTGAGGCCAGACCACATTTGTTTGGAAAAAAATGGGCTTTTGAACATCAACTGCCCATAATTCAACACGGAAAGTATCGGCATACCTTCTCTGTGAGTGGTTAGAGCATCAGACCAATTCAGAAAGGCCCGCCTGCCCTTGTGCTCTCCCACACCCCCTCCATCCTCTGCAGCAGCTCCTTGGCTGTGCCCTGCAGCTCACCACCCTGAGCCTTCACCCCATCATTTTCTCTGCCTCACACGTCCACACTGTCTTCACCCCTCTGCTGGTTAAGGCCCTAACATCCTTCAGGGGGCAGCTGCCACGTCTTCCACAGTCTTAGATCTTCCCCCTTGGAACTAATACTACTTCTACTATTGTCTGGCCGGACGACACCTCCACCATTATCATCGCACATATTAGCCCGGGGTGTGTCTGTCTCTCTAACTGCACTGTGAACTCTCTGAGGGCAGGGGCCACGTTTTATTCATCCTCCCACTGCAGGCTCCTCCCACCGCCCCAAACACACACACACTCTGCCTTACTCAGTGAAAACTCTAAATTGCACCACTTGGGTCACTCTCACAGCCTTCCTTTTTCCGCTTTCTCGCAGGAAAAAAAATCTACCTTCTTGAATTGAACTAAATTAAATTGAATATAGTCAGCAAAAACGTGGGTTAAAATAGGCTTCTGTGGGTTGGGACCCTAACTTTTATTTAGCATATTGTTTCTTCGGGGAAACCGCATCTTACATAACAAGGAGAAGAAAGAAATAAACCATTCCAGAATATTTTCTCCTCCCTCCATGACTGACCTAACTCCTACTCCCTGCCTCCCTCCATGAGTCAGTGACCATACCACACATGCAACAAAAACTGGTGGTTCTAGAAGCAGTTGACAACCAAGCTTTTGAATTCCTAACCAGAAAGTAGATAAATCAGTGTACTCAGGTTAACCTGTAAGTAGGTCAACAGAATATAATTTGCCAGCCTGCCTATTGTCCTTCTGCTACGCTTCCATCCGATGATCCTAAACAGGACTCTCCAGGCCACCTGTGTATTCCATCAGGAGGCTCTCAGGGGGCTGAGTGGTACACCCTCACCTCCCACCCCCAGTGAAGCTCTTCTCCACAACATCTCTGAGATGCTCAAAGAATGGTTTGTGGTTCAGAGAAGGCTCTGGCTTGTTCTAGAATAAGATGAGGGCACTGCTGAGCCAATTCTCCTGAGTAGTATTTGAGTCCTGTCTTAAACTTCCGGATCATGTAAATGGTCCTATAAATTTCCCAAACTATCAGACTGAGTGAAAGTGGCATTTAATTTGAGTAACTCTTTTTCTTAACCATGGCAACTATCAGGTTCTCCTTCAACAATAGCAGGAAGGACCTCGTTTGAGTATGGGTGGGGAAGGGGATAGCAAAGGGAAAATGTGTCCATGTGGAATTGTCAGCACAGGGAGAAGAGCCAACAATCCCTCATTAAGCCAGTCATTGTGGTGGCCTCCTCCCCTGACATCACCACTTCTTATCTCAAACTGAGCAGCAAATGCTAGAAAATGGACGAAGGGGACAAACCAGATAGAAAAATATTTTAAAACTTAAAAGAGTAAAAGGGAAATGCTAGAGAATTTTGATACATTTTTAATGGCCAAGAAAAGAAATATAACCAATTTAAGTGTATCCTAATAAGGGCGAAATGTAGCTAAAACTATCCTGCTGGACAGGAGTCAAAAGGAATATAAATTAGCCTCCAATAAATAAGATCAAACTCACTTAAGAATTACTCAATAGACTAAAAACTACAATCAAAACTAGAAAGTTAAAAGAGTGTAAGTGAATACTATTGGCTAAAGTTTTCAAAGTTGAATAATTTTAAATTCACAAATTAAACAAAAATGTCCCACTGAAAAAACAGGGTGTGAGATATGAGCAGCAATACTGAGACTGGGACTGCCCACTGACCTATACTTGGCAAAGCAAAGACAGACAAGGAACAGAGCTGGGCAGAGCTCTCCTCTCCTCCCCAGAGAGTCCCCCAAAGCAGGCCCTTACCCTTCAGGTAGCAAAACTACACAGTCTAGAACCATTGCTCCCCCACAAGACTGAGGTCCCTCCAAAGCTCACCTCTCACCCTCCTGTGTTAGAATAGAGGCCA